ATATAATAGTTCACTGTCCAAAACGCCAAATTTTATATTCTGATTACAAGCTCTTTTCAAGCGAAATTGCTCATCATAGCATTTCGATCCCATGCTTTTAACTCGACCAGCACCCATTCGAACCTGACTCATGTATTTCAAAAACCCCCGCGTTTCATTAGAATGAACCAAAAGGTAAACAGATGCGTATGCTAAAAATGCGTACGTTCACTTAATAATATCTGATATTTCTGATTGTTTGGACTTTGGTATGGTCTCCAATTCGTCCTTCATAATGGTTAACCTTTTCTCCTAGTTTTCAGGATCAATGGGACTTGCCAAGAATATAGATAAATCAACATATTCCCCATTCCATACTTTCTGTTTATTTTTTCGAGAGATATTCGCTCAAAGACTATCTGCATTAGAACGAATTTTATCTGGGTAATTCAAAGTCCTCCTCTGATGAAAATGGGATATTTTGTCCCCCAACACCACTATCAGATTCCCTTTCTTTCTCGTACCAGGTGGATTAGAAATGTGTATACCTGCGTTTGGAACAGATGATGTTTGAGAATCAACTCTTAATTTCCCCGGTCCGGGATATATCAAAGGAATGTCCAGTGCATCTTCTTCTGGTGTCTTCCTAGTTGACTTCCGTCTCTTTGAAACTTGGCCTTGTAACGTTGATAATGTCGATGGACTTTCCGAAAGTTGTCTCTTCCTTTTTGAATTCATCATTTAACCTTTCTATATTGAAGTAATGAACTTGCTGTGACCGGAAATGGGGTTTGGAGTTGCTTACTTCCGGAATAATCATCTGAGTAATAAAATTGCCTCCCTTTTTTCCATTAATCCATGGTAGGTTAACTTAGCCGATAGGCCACAAACCACGAATTATCAGCGCCGGGATAACTGAATTTTATTTCATATGGAAATAAATTGTATTGTTTTTTTCCGTGAGATTTTATGAGTCCTTTCAGGAGTTTCTAGTAAATGATTGTTATGATGGCAATGTTGGGCTGTGAAAGGTTTTTAGTTGGTGAAACAATTTTTGCAAACTTTGGTGACTTTGTCGAGATTTCCCAGTCACTCCACATTACTTAGTTGAAATGAGTTCCGTTTTAAGTGCACAAGGTGAGAAATTGTCTATAGATTTAAACGTTATAGTATTGTATTATTATGGTCATTAATGTACTTAATTGAATCTCAGATCGCCAACTGGGTTTAAGAATTCGATCAAGAAACTAGTTTACTATAGAGAAAAATCCCCAATGTGCGATTAGATGATATAAGATAGTAGGTGATTAGTAGAGAAGAGTAATATTGAATTTAAAATAGATCAATTTTAGAATCAAGAGATTTTTAACTTCTTTGTGGAATGAAGTGGAGTTCAATGACACGAAATAACATCACATGGCTTCATTTAGAGACAATGACTACAATTTAAGAAACAATTACTACAAAAAAAGACCACATATTGCGCGAAACAATGGCCATTTTGCCGAAAACAACGACAATATTGCTAGAAACAATGACTATAATGCAAGAAACAACGAAAATATTTCCAAAAACAATGACTATATTGCGAGAAACAATGACTATATTCCGAATAGCTGTGAATAGCAATTTTCACAAACAATAAAGACTGTGTTGAGAGAAACAACTACTACGATGTGAGAAACAACTACCTTCGATGTAATGTACATGTACTTATATGCCGGACTGATAAGCACAGCTACTGGCTATCTTGTTGAATTACACAATACATTGTAAAGTAATATTTTATACAGCACTTTGCCTTTTTAAGAATATTCATGCCCTTTCACATCAGCTGCCCGAAGTTGTTTATGTACTGTATGGTTTGATACCATTTCACAGCAATCCATTTGAAACATAATTTTACAGAGTATTATCACTAGATCTTACGCTGTGAGATTTATTGAGCAGACATGTTGACAGAATGTCTGGTTCAATATGTCCACCGGGGTTTACATTATTCGGCGGTTGTGACAATCAACATTGTACCATTACTGAGAACGGTGATCATGCAGGACAAACTGGTTGTATTATTTACAATATTATAACATGTTAAAGGGGTGTTATCTCTCAATAATATATTGTTCCATTAACTGTTTTGCGTCATATATTGAAAAGATACATATTTTCGAAACATATATACAAACATCGTATCACGAATATGGGTTTTGACTTGGTCTTATTAACCGAGGAAGTATGACGAATGGGGGTGTCGTTTGGACACGATGATACACAAACGGTCTTTGCATTCAAACAAGATATGGTCTAATTTTCTGCGTAAGTGTCGCTAGCCCTCAGAAAAATGCAGAATTACATAAGTATATTATCAGTGGCGCAGCCAAAGGGGCAGCCTCCCCCCCCCCCCCCCCCACCTATTACTCCCTCACAGCCCCGAAAGAAATCATATATCAAGGTTAGGAATTCGGACAATCTCAGATATTTCGCTCCGACGCCCCCCCCCCCCC